ATAGCCTCTTTTTCTCCTTAACAAGGAGAATTTGTGTACAAAGTTATAAAGAAAACAGAAAACTAAAGCAATCAAGGTCCAACCTGAACAACTGAGATTCTCAGGAAATGCTATAATTACACACCAAAATGAACCGTGAACTCAGTGAATGCATCATAACCTTCAGAAAGCATTTATTGTTTTCCTGCTTCCAGTTATTTCATTTGCCTGCTAAGAAGAGCGTGGAGGGAATCTTGGAGGACTATGCAAACTACAAGAAATCAAAAGGAAACTCCGACAACAAGTAAGACGCTCCCCTTCGCCTCCCCCGCCCACCTGATGTTTTCTGAATGGCTAAAGACAAGAGACACCGACATCCTGTTAGCCCTGCTTCATGTGTCCACCTCATTACCGCCTGTCACATAATGTGTTTTCCACATTAGCGGCCTTACTTTCCTCCTCTGAACCCACTTTACGAGCAGTTTTATTGCTCTTTGTTGCGCTTTATGCCAGGAGGAGGTTTGCTTGTGCTCATCGTGTTCAGTTGTCTCAACTATAATTGCATTTCACGTGGATTGAATTTAAAATGCCGTATCGAAAACATTTTTCTCTCTTTAGCTTGTTTACAGGCATTGGTGTATTTTTTCTTTCTTCACGTCTTCTAGTCTTTCTCCTGGTTTCTTTAAGTGCATTAAAATGGCACAATGCTAAACACGTGGAGGAGGCTTGAGCTCAAAAGCGATAACTCATTCTCTTGACGGCTGCATTTCAGGCTCGGACTTTGACTGGACGCTTTTTGAGGTGCTGTTTGGTGCAACGGGATTCGCTCTTCTTTTCCTGCAGGGAGTACGCCGTGAACGAGGTGGTGGCCGGGATCCGGGAGTACTTCAACGTCATGCTGGGCACTCAGCTGCTTTACAAGTTCGAGAGGCCGCAGTACGCCGACATCCTGTCTGAGCGCCCGGACGTGCCGATGTCTCAGGTGTACGGAGCTCCACACCTGCTGCGTCTTTTTGGTGCGTCTGAACGAAAAGCGCCAGAGTGAACACGGTTAATATCACCACAGGGTGAATCTTTCGCTGAGAGGCACGCTGCTGCTTGATTTTTAGATCACCTGACAAGTTTATTTCCTTTGTTAAACGCTGAGCTGCCTTTTTAGTCTTTGCACAAACTTAATCAGTTAAACCAAAGTCATCACTATAAATCAAAACTCATAGAAAGAGCCACCTTGCAGCCCTGTAGCGTCACATAATAAAACAGCCGTGTCATGTAAATACTATTTAACATGTAAAATTTGAAACGTCTGATCGGTTTCCTTTTGCAGTCAGGTTATTTCAGACCAATAAGCTTTACTTGATCAGTTGATTATGTTCACTGGCTTTGATGGGAAATGCTTTCTGATTTGAAAAATAAACAATTAGCATAATTTGCTGAAGCAATTTACTTTTGTAAATTAGGCAGAGGTATTGATTCATCACTTGTCCAACTATGTGTATGAAGTTATTTATGCACTTCTTTCCAAATATTTCATGCTCCACATTTAACCAATATAATAACCATGACAGTAATTTTGATTTTATAAACGGATAATCAAACCTTAGGAATGAATTATTTCATTTGATGTTTTTCATTTGATCTGTTCCTATTCCTGATTTCACACATGAAACATGATAGCTTTAACCAGCTTTAGTTCTTAAGCTTGTTTATTATGAGAACTAAAAGCATAAATTAAGTATACATTTTCTGCTCCTCCTCTTATTCATCAACAGTTCGTATAGGAGCCATGTTGGCATACACTTTACTGGACGAGAAGAGTCTGGCCCTGCTGCTCAGTTACCTCCAAGATTTCCTCAAGTAAGCTCCGCCTCCTGGCCCTGCGTGAGAGACTCCGTGTCATGTTTGCCTGATTCACAGATGACTAGTTTTCTTCCTTCCACTTTCATATTAGTGCAGCCACGCTTGGCGGAAATGCTTTGAAACGGAGGCTATGAAATTGATTTTTCTGCTCAGGAAGCAGCTCTATTTTTTTCTTTCTTTTTGCGTTTTTTTTTTAAATCAGGATGACTTCGACAGTGGCTGCAGCTCACTGCTCACTGAGCTGCTGTGTGGAGATTCAAGGCAGAATATGTAGATCATTCATTGCAGATTATTTGGTTGTGTTTAATCCAGTAACTTGCATGAGTTCCGAATAAAAACGTCAATATGCCCAACACAAAAAAACACAAACACAGTTTAAAAGTGAGGCTTTATGTGGATTTCGCTGATGTTCCTGAGCCAGTGCCTTTGCACAAGCTGTCCCAAGATTCCAGCCTTGCTCCACTGGTGACAAATAGTCTCACTGTTTCTCCAGGTACCTGGTGAAGAACTCGGCCAGCCTCTTCAGCGCCAGCGACTACGAGGTCGCCCCCCCTGAGTACCACCGGAAAGCTGTGTGAGAGCTCTCAGCAACGCAGCGCTCTGAGCGAGACACATCACCGCCCTGTCAGGCCGCAAGTAAAAATAACCATTAGTTCAGAGTGAATTGAAGATCCTTTTTTCACTTCGGCTGACATGTTTCATCTGGAAAGATCCTAGGTGCTCGTGACAGTTTGCAGGGGAAGAAAATGTAACCTACTTTTGATATCACTTTGTGTAAAAAGAGGCAAAATAAACAGTCATTTCAACAGCCAACTTTATTCTATTTTTGTGCTTGTTTTCAGCAGAGGTGCCTGTTACTATTGCATGCTTATCATTATTATTTATGCTTCTTTGGCCAGGTGAGCTTTGAGTCAATGCTGAACGGCAAGGTCAGCAGCCAAACAACAAAAAAGTTTGTATGTTGTGCGTTTATATCGATTTGTAAAAATGAAAAAAAAAAAAAAAAAAAATAAAGAAGAAAAAGTTGTCTAAAATCTTCCAAATTGTTTACTGTGTCTGCAAAAGTTACGTCTTTACATGATTTGATGTTGTTATTGTTCTTTAAAGATGCAATAAGTTAAACGTAATCTTCTGAAAACAACCAAAACTCCTCTCTGCTTTGGTATATATCAGTCCTCTGAGATTTGTTTTGTAAAAATTTGATTTTATATTCATCTGAATCAACAACATATTGAGAAGTTTATTTGTTTTTGTTTTTTTTCTGATCCAAATGCGAGTTTATTTAAAAAAGCTAATTAAATTCACAGTGTGTAAATGTCATCTTTTTGTGCCTTTTTATTATTTATTTTACAATCATAAAACCTGTTTAATTTACCCATCTTTAACACTGTCACTGAACGCACAACGAGCTACATTTATTCTCTAAATACCCTGTGATAAATCTAAATAAGTAATGATGGATGAATTATTAAATAATAATTACAGTATTCAACAGCAGTCTGGTTCTTGTTACCACCCAGCACTGCTGGAGTCAGAAGACTTACAATAAGCAACCAGCTGAACCCCAGATTCATTTGATTAATGAAAGCACAATGACTTACCAGTTAAAAAATGTCCAGGATATTAAAAAATAAAATTACACATATGATGTTGATTTTAAATTGGATAAATGGAGTGGATTTTGTCTTGAAAGAGTTAAAGGTTGCTCCATTTGGGTAAAAAAAAACTTTTTTCCCCCCTTATAGTGCAATATATAACACAACACAAGGGGGCAGCATTTCTCTCTAGTTTTATCAGATTCTCTCAAAAATCGTTTTTGGTTTTCACCCACTACTTTGGAGATTTCTGTTTGCATGCAATTGTGAAAGTAATTAAATGATCCCATAGTTTAAGCAAAGCAAACAAGGCACAAAAGGATTTGCGTAGTTGTTGCTGAAAAGAAGGAAAACTGGAGGAATGTGTTTTAAAAGCAAATAGCAGCAACGTACCATCCATTCTGCAAAACACTAAAATTGTGTGAAAATTGTTTTTCAATCTAAATTGTTGCTTTGTAATGCAATGAACACACAAATGAACTCATCAAAAAAAAAAAAAAAAACACAAAAAGGTTTGGAAACACCAAGATGGTCATTTTTCTCATTTTATATTAATTAGTGGTGTAGCCTGATCAGACACCTTTACCACAAGTTATAACATGTAAACATGATGCATCTGTGAAATGAGCGACACAGCAAAAGGTTTGCTGGTGTGCCACCTCCTCTCAACATCCAACATTCAAAAAGTGCTAAAATCCCTTATTGAAATTCTCCTGCTGCTACTCTTTCTCATTAAGAGCTTCAAGGGCTGTCAGGTTTGTGCAGGTCTGATTTAGAGCTAATTGACAACAGTTGTCTCCATGGATCCCGCAACTTTGATGAGTTTGTGTGTGCGTCAAGCAGCAGCATGCCACAACGTCGTCCCTTCAAGGTGAGGCCTGGGCAACAGGAAGACAAGAAGCTGTATGCCATTTACATTAATACAATCAAAGTAATCAAAAACTAAAGAAAGAATGGTAAAAGTGTGCTATTGTCTAAAAAGCAGCAGAATTATATAGCTTAGTTCACAAATCAGACGTTTGGACTATTTTACTTTATAAAACTTACGCTATGCGTGGTCTGCAAAACGATTTGGTGAAGATCATTCTTTTACAGCTATCTTCAAGTCCAAGAATTAAAAAATAGTTGTATGTATGTGTTACATTTCATGTGCATGGTCTGAAGAAGTCAGATTTCATTAGCAAATGATAACATGTTAAGATTCAATGAAAAAAAAAATCAATTCTGTTTTTATTGGAAACTGTTGACAGATTCTTACTTAAGTGACCATAAAACATGAGAACAGACACCTAGTTTAATATAATCCCAAATAAGTTATTTTGTGTATGTGGTGAAAGAAAATTTTTTTTTTTTTAGGATTATTATGTGCGGGTGATGACAGTGCTCAGGGTGTTTCTGTTTCAGGTAAACCTGCTCACATTTTTCCTTCTTCTGTCCCAGGACGTCTTCAACGTTTCCCAACTGCACCACCAAGGGAAGTCCCGCCCCCCGGGAGCTCCTATTGGATGAACGGCCAACTGCCGCGCTCATTCCCGTTTTGATTGGATGAGCAGGCTGTCACGCGAAATGCAACCAGCGTTCACAGTTAAAAGCGTCAGGTGAAACTCGGGTTGTGAAGGCGAGGGAACGGATAAAAATAAAAGAAACTTCGCTAGTTCGAAATTTTTAGGTCAGTTAGCGTTATATTTATAAACTTTAGCGGTGGGGAATACTTTTAATATCACAGACAAGCACGTTACAAGATGAAGAGCTTCATAAATCGACGGAAAAAACACGAAGTTACCATCACAGTAAGTTGGATACTTTGGTTTTGCTAATATCCCAACTTTTGTCGCTGAACTCAGGCTAGTTTTGAGCTGAACAACGCTGTTCTGGTCAGGCGTTTTGTGTACTAGGAGTTATTTTGTGTAACCCCGGCCTCCCCCCTTCCTAGTGAACACACTATCCGCGGTCTTGTTCCCACGGTGGTTCTGGGCTGTTTGGGAAAACACTTTAAGCACCTGCAGCTCCGCGCGAGACGCGGAGGAGGAGCGGTACGTTCGGAAAGACCCTGCACGGATTTGGGCCAGTGTATCTTTGACCCGTTGACTCTTTCTTCGCCGCAGGACCATGCGGTTTGTTCATCACAAAGTGCAGTTTTGAAACAAAGTCGAGGTTTATTACAGGACAAATCGATGCGCCTGTTATCGTAGAAACTTGCAGAGCTCACACGGACAAAATCTTTTGGTTCTGTTGACATTTTGCCCTTTATTGAACTCGGCATCAACTATAAGAAGTTACCTTGTATAGTATATTTATGTTGTTTTTTGTTAGCCATTTTTGCTATCTTCTCAGACATAAAATATTTGTGAAGAAAACACGAAGACATTAAACCCAATTCAGTTTTAATTTCGCACAGACTGTCTTTATTATACTCCGCTGCATTTTAAAAAATTATTTAGAGATGGCATACTGATAACTAAAGGAGAAAAGAAGACTGCTGAATATTCAGTTTGATTTAGATTTGAATCACTAACAATACAACAACATTTAAATATGTGAAGATCTCAGTTTTTCTGGCCTACACTGATTTTCATTTTTCTTCTACCTCCGTTTTGTTGATTCAGATAAATGGTAGCTTTCAAACCAACTGAAAATGAAGGAAATGCAAGATTTAGCAAGACAAGCATTGTATGTCCCCAACTGTAATCTATCTGTGTAATCTATAATCAATCTTAAACAACTGTTTGATTTCTAGACCATTACTGGCTTAGTTTCATACTTTAGATGTATTTGATGAACAGCAAAATAATATTCTTTCTAATATTTTTTGTTTTTGTTTTGTAATGTCTGTCAGAGGAGACCAGTGGATTTAATCAAATATTTAGACTTCAGATTTTATTTTTCTGTAGGGAAAATGTTTTTCCCCCAAACCATCCCCTGTACTTGCACCACCAAATGGACATTAACATATAGTATGGGACAAAACAAAACACCTCCACACAAGACAATAACACACAAAAAATGCTCTTCCTCATTCTGAACAAATACAAGGTGACAGTGGAGAGGAACAACTTTCTTTTACTAGGAAGAAACTTGCATTTTACTATGAATTGGTTAATATCTGCAAAAGATTTACAGGGTAGACAGCAAATATGGAGTATCAAGCCAAATTCTTAACAGAATTTCAAAAGTATTTACTGGCAAATATCATCTGTTGGTGAAATAACACTATACCCAAAAAAACAACATACAACTGACTCCAAATTCCACTGAACTGAAAACTGTGTTTCTGCACCAGTGAGTTTCAAGAGTGCAGGCACTTCTGCAGCATTTCTAGTAAACAACTCTCGGGGTCCAAGGCACCATGGATACATGCAAGTCCTTCCAGGAATGTTATTCTTCTTGCCTGTCTAAGAAATGTCTTTGTGCAAAATGGTGTCACCTATAGGTGCGCTACCTAATGTATAGTTTACTTGCGATCCGCAAAAACTGAATTAATTCTTCATTATCTAGTTTGGTCTTGAAAATTTACTTAACAGTCATTACAATTCTGAAACAGTCCGGCTTGGAGTGTGTGTTTTGGCACAACACACTGCTTCCTCTGTCCAGGATTACCATGAAAAAGAAATTCAGCCCATAAGATCTTTGTTTGGCAAACTGTCAGGTCTCATTCTGTTCAAAAGGGGAAAGCAGCCATTCCAAATATATATTTTCTTATTTCTTTTTACCTGCAATGACGGGTGACTCGCTACCTCTGAGAAATGCAGAGGGTACCAATTCAGAAATCAAGTGGACAAAAGAAAACCAACTTATTTCCCAGAAGTATTTTATAGGGACCTCCAGAAAAAAAAAGTTCACTGTTAGCTGTGATGAGGAAACAGACATGACATTTTGCTCAGGTATCTGTGGAGATTTCATAGCAGCCATTTTATTCCCCAGTGAAGGTGAGATACCAAAAAAATACAACCTTCAAGCACACGGACGGAACTGAAGCCACTTTTCAATGTGAAGAAAGAGGTGCTGCTGTAGCTTATTGAAAATTGATATTCTGCCAGTTGCAAAGAGCATAGTTGTCATACAGTGCATTGTGAGTCATCACTTTTGATCTATTTCTATCAGAAAACCTTGGCTATCCATGTGCATCATAGCCATAAATCAACCTTAAAGCTGGGAGAAATGAAGTTTCATTGGAAATATGTTGGATGACAGTTAGGCCATTGTGATTGTGAGGCACATAACCTATTCCTGCTGGGAAAATTGTTATGAAAACATAAGCATTTTTGGACTGGGAGTGGTTTGAGCAAATGAAAAAGAAACTTGGAGGAATTGCAAAGTCTTGTGAAAACATTCAACTTTATCAAATTTAGTTTGTTGAGTTCAGTCTAAAGTATTTGGTGACTAATTTACCTGTGTGCCTATCCGTACTTTCAAGTCACACCTCTATCCTACATTTAACTTTGGTTTTATTGTGTTCTTTATTGTTTTTGAATCACAGTGTGCAAGTAAAGCTTTGGTAAGACCCTATTTCAGCAAAGGAATGCCAACTATGCCCTCATACGCCCTTTTAAGGGCGTACAAAGCTGAATATCTAGCAGTCTGAATACAAAATACCAAGGTGTTCTTCTAATACCGGCTGCGGATTTGATAGAATGAGAGCTTGTTGGTTTCTGTTCTCTCAGGTTTCTGTTTTTCCTTTTGTGTGTGAGGCCTTTTATTCTAGAAACCTCTCATGTGTATTGTCATTTGGATCTGCTTTTTTTGTGGTGGAAAGATTTCTCGCTTGAAAAAGTTGAAGATGAGTGCAAATGCTGTTTTCATATTTTGAGTTTGTTCATGTATTTAGATAAGCATTGAATGTAATTATTTAAAAAAATGTTTTCAGAATGTTTTAATGCAGCAGAACATCTTAAAGCGCGTTTCTCTTAGATTTTAGTTTTCTGCAACTTAACACGTGGCTCAGTTCAATTGGAATCGAAATGAAAATTGATCTGTTCAAAGGACTTATCGGCATCAAAGCAACATTTAAAAGGCATCCAGAGAAGATGCAAAGATATGGATGTTTGGATGTATTCCGATCAAATTTCTGGCAGTGGTGCAGCTGACATTCCTCAAAAATTGTATCATTCTAGAAAAGCAGTAAGAATTCCCACACATAAAGCAAGGTCAAAAGCCAGCCCAGGTGTGTTTAGCAATCATTTCAGTTTGAGTCCGTTTTTAACTGTCCAAAATGACAAATGGTTGCTGTAATATCTACCCAGGCATTTTTTTTTCCTACATTGATTTCATCTTCCCTCACTGCCCTTTTCGTACTAGAGGTAAAGCTTTTTTGTCAATAAGACAGGACAATATAGAGAATGTTGTAAACTAATCTGATTTCCAACAGGTTGACATTACAATGACAAATGCTACTCTGCTGTAAATATGAATCTAGATCATATGGAATGTGTTATTATGGTTAACTAGTCTTCAAGGGATGAGTGATTTCTGTTAAGTTCTCTTCAGAAAACAGCTGGGAAGATTGTGACTGATCACGTAGACGTATGCACGAGAGGAAAAACTGAGTTTAAATAAGCTGTTTTGCTTCGATAGAAGTGTGCATGGTTCGCACGCCGCTTTTTGTTTCAGTCATCGTCTGCATTGTCGCTTCAGGAAATCCTCTGTTTTATACGTGCAGTCGAGTCAGAGAGACCTAAACTTCTCCGTTGTGCAAACCGGTTTGTTCAATTTCTTTGTGACGGAAATAATGTGCTCGTCAGTCATCGGTTGTTCAACTTTGATGAAATGTCAGTCAATGGGTAAGGCGTGGCTGCTGGTATTTTGATTTCTTCTCACACTGTAACCATCAAGGGCTTCTGCCTTATTATTCCTGTTGGAGTTTAACATTGAAAGTTTCTCTTGCAGACTTGTAGACTGTAGCTTCCAGTGGTTGTGATGGTGATCTAGTTCTAATCATGTCAACACATGGCTTTACAAGACCTGAGAAAAACTGTGAGCAAAGTCCTTCGCACAATTTTAGTGACGTGCATTGACCTTAGCTACTCCTGGCAGCCATGTAATAACAGAAACCTGTGTATGTACATTGTACATGTTGTGGTGCATGCAGAAAATCATGTGTTAACACCAAATTGTATTACATCTGTCAGAAGAGATGACCAGAATATCACCCCACACTACACAATCACCCAGCGGGAGGCTGCATTACACTATGTTTTGGGAATGTGTTGGACTCAGTGATGCCTGAAATAATGTGGTAGGGATAGAAAGTTGCAGAATTACAGTTCTTGTGAAATATTGTGTTTAGATAAGAGAGAGAGAGACAGACAGAGATTGGACTGAAAAGAAATGTTTAAAAACTACACCCCATGTGGCTTGCTGACATTCAGGTTAATAATCTAAGACATATTTCAGCTCTGTACTGGTCTGAGTGTGATGATGATTAAATTTTTTCTGTCCGTCATTCTCATACTTTTTTTTTTTCTTACAAGTGTTTCTACATGTGGATGAGTTGATGTTTTAACATTTAGAGCTTGCTTATTTTTGAGCAGTGTACCTTTAGGTTTGGTAGAACTGTGGTTTACCAAGAGTATGGTTTAGAATCGGATTCATGATGCTTTATCGACACCTCTTGTCAATATAAATGCATTAAGTATTACATTAACATTGTTCTCTCTCTGTCTCCCAGAGGCTTGCAACGCATCATGTCTGAAAATTTTGTGCCAACACTATAATATTTGGAGTGGGTTGCAAACTGCCCAGCTGTATGCACCCACATGTTTTTGCATTATATTTTGCCATCAGTGGAGTTTCT